ACCTGCCTGCTGTAATAATAATAAAACATTGCACTGGAACTGAGATGCAGATACAGGAAGAGAAGAAGGCAGTCGCAGATAACTTTTTCTTTTGTTTCTTGAAGACCTCGAGTTTACCAGAGTGACCTTTGGAAATGAAGATTAGAACATAAGAACTTAAGAGAAGCCAATGGCCCATCCAGTCCAACACTCCGTGCCATCTAGACCAGGGGTGTCAAACTCATTTGTTATGAGGGCTGGAACTGACATAAATGAGACCTTGATGGACTGGGCCATGTGTGTCATAAAATGTAATGCCAGGTAGCGGAAACTTTATAAAGGACACAAACACAAAGTGGTTTTTTTAAAATAAAAATAAAAACATGTTTAAAACATTAGCACTCTTGCAATATTTTGTTCATTTAACCGTGTCTGATAACTAACACCTCTTGCTCTGAATTATTGCATCAAAATGTCTGTGCTGTTGCAGACTTGAGTATGCTGTTCAGGTGTGTATCTGTAAGCTGGAAACCTACGATGATACAGCAGCAGCAGAACTGGAAGAGGAAGCAGAAGACATCGAGTTTCACTGCGGGCCTGATAGAAGCCCTTTGGGGGCCTGATCTGGCCCCCGGGCCGCATGTTTGACACCCCTGATCTAGACCTTGTGGCTAACAGCCACTGATGGACCTCTGCTCCATATAAGAACATAAGAGAAGCCATGTTGGATCAAGCCAATATGGCCTATCCAATCCAACACGGTGTCACACAGTGGCCAAAATCCAGGCACCATCAGGAGGTCCACCAGGGGGCCAGAACTCCAGAAGCCCTCCCACTGTTGCCCCCCAAGCACCAAGAAGACGGAGCATCCCTGCCACAGACGGAGTGTTCCTGTCTATACCTTGTAGCTAATAGCCACTGATGGACCTCTGCTCCAGATGTTTATCCAATCCCCTCCTGCAGCTGTCTATGCTTGTATAGCCCCCTTTAGCTGAACAGCTAAGAAAGGGACCATTCAAGGCTGGTTCCAGATTTGGGGGGGGGGGCTGGACATAGAATTCCCAGCCCCCACCCCCACCCCGTGTCTAACTACCTGCACCCCTCCTTGGCCTGCTCAGAAGGCTTCCCGGTGCTGCCCACGCTCACAGCCGTCTGCACAGCCTGCAGCCCTTTCCCTGATGGCCTGCCTGTAGGCAGTGTCTGCAGCTAGACGTGTGGGTGGCGAAGCCCTCACAAGTGGGCAGGGAACGAAATGGCAGCAGAGGGCCCCACCAGAAGTCCTCGGCCCTGGCAGCCCGCCCCTCCTGAGGGGATGGGGACACCGGTCCTGGTACCATTCAAGTCTTTCCCAGACAAATAAGTACAGGTGTGCTGTTTGGCCTTTCATTTAGCACAGGGGGTTTCAAATCCTGTTCCTGGGAACTGAGTTCGGGTTGCCAGGTCCTCCCTGGCCACCAGCGGGGATGGGTGGGGGTAGCGTGGCCAGCTCCAGGTTGGGAAACTCCTGGAGATTTGGGGATGGAGCCTGGAGAGGACAGGGACCTCAGTGGGGGTCCATGCCACAGAGTCCACCCTCCAAAGCATCCACTTTCTCCAGGGGAACTGATCTCTGTAGCCGGGAGAGGAGCTGTCATTCTTGGTGGCCCCCAGCAATGCTCCCTCTAAGCTGTGGAGTGGGGGGGGGGCAAAATCCTACTCTGTGAGCTACTGCCATAAAAGTTGTGAGCGAGCAATTTGGCTACTGCATAAATTAGCTTGCTCTGGAGCCCTCCTTCCTGAGCTGAGACAAAAATGTGTGAGACCAGAGGTCATTTTGGGGGGGATCGCGGGGGATCGCAGTTCCCCCGGGTGAGGTACGGGGGTTTTTTTCCCTCATGGGGCTCGGCAGTGGAGCTGCAAGGCCGGCGGCGGCCGGGACTGTTGGGGGCGGGGTGTGTGGCCTTATGATACACTTCCGGTGATGTCAGGGGGTGTGGCCTTATGACACACATCCGGTGATGTCAGGGGGTGTGGCATATGCTAATGAGTTATGCTAATGAGTTCCCCTAGCTCTTTTTCTACGAAACGACCCCTGTGTGAGACGGAGGCTAAACAACTGTGAGCTAGCTCACACTAACTCAGCTGAGAGGGAACACTGCTCCCCAGGTCCCACCTGGAGGCTGGCAGCCCTAGTTACTGAGTGCCTCCTTAAGATCTTGCCAGGAGTTGAACTTCATGCTGAGTCAGACCATTGTTTCCAATGCACCCAGCACCGCCTGTCTGACAGGCAGCAGCTTTCCAGGATCTCAGGCCGAAACAGTTCCCAACCCTGCTTCCTGGGGTGTTTAAAAATGGATTCTTTAATCTTGAGCAGGGGTGTCAAACATGTGGCCTGGGGGCCGGATCAGGCCCTCGGAGGGCTGAAATCCGGCCCGCAAGGACCTGGCTGTTTCCTGCTTCCTTTTCCAGTTCTGCTGCTGCAATAACTTAGAGCAAGGGGTGTCACTTATCAGAGACTGTTAAATAGACAAAATATTGCAAGAGTGCTAGTGTTTTAAGCATGTTTTATTTAAAGTTTAAAAAACCTTTGTGTTTGTGTCCTTTATAAAGTTTATATCTCTGCTACCTGGCATTACATTTTATGACACACATGGCCCGGCCCAACAAGATCTCATTTATGTCAGATCCGGCCCTCATAACAAATGAGTTCGACACCCCTGATCTTGAGGATCAAAGGTGGGCTCTTCTGCATGGACTGCTCTGCTGAGCTATGACCCCTCCCTCAACAAGAAGACCAGTAGTGGAGGACAGGTTTCCCTAACTCAGTCCAGACCCAGGGTGGATCTGTTCTAAGGTGAGCTCTGAAGGTGAATTCACACAGGCCGATGATGAAGCCCCAACGGATTGCCACGAGCCAAATATATCATAAGAACATAAGAGATGCCAATGTTGGATCAGGCCAAAGGCCCATCCAGTCCAACACTCTGTATCACACAGTGGCCAGAAATACCAGTGCCATCAGGAGGTCCACCAGTGGGGCCAGGACACTAGAAGCCCTCCCACTGTTGACCCCCCCCAAGCACCAAGAAGACAGAGCATCCCTTGCCCCAGAGCCCCTATCTATACCTTGTGGCTAATAGCCACTGATGGACCTCGCTCTGCTCCATATGCTTATCTAATTCCCTTTTGAAGCCGTCCATGCTTGTAGCCGCCACCACTTCCTGTGGCAGTGAATTCCAAGTGTTATCCCAGGGGCCTCTGCAGCGAGAAGGAAGCAATTCCACAAGAGATGCTCTGGAATTCTTCAGCAGGTGCCAAAGTCTGAAAACGGTTGACATCATTGGCCCCATCTGTACGCCACCCTGAGCCCGTTCGCGGGGAGGGCGGGTTATAAATTTAAATAAATAAATAAATAACTCATGTTGTGCAATGAGGCTGTATAATGATTTGCCTAATTAGGAATGAATTAAGAAAGCAAAACAGGGGCGGGGGCAGGGGAACGACACTCAAAGTAGGGTTACCAGATGTCCTCTTTTAGGATCTTTATAAAAAACTGAAGACATCCACTGCTTGAGCTGGAAGGTAAAGAATATTCCCAGTTAGTAGCAATGATCACTTCTTAAACAGGAGGGGTACTTAAAAGGAGATTTGTCATAGGGATCACCTGTTTAAAATAGTCAGTCAGAAAATATGTCCTCTTTTTCGCTTCTCCAAAGATGGTCACCCTAACACAAACTGTTCTGAAAACCACATCTCTGCATGAGCCTAAACATGAGCCTGCAGTGTGATGTGGCTGCGAAGAAAGCTAATGCAGTCTTAGGATGCATTAACAGAAGCATTGTGTCCAGATCACGGGAGGTGGTAGTTCCGCTCTATTCTGCTATGGTCAGGCCTCACCTGGAGTACTGTGTCCAGTTTTGGGCACCACATTTTAGGAAGGATGTTGACAAGCTCGAGCGTGTCCAGGCAACCAGGATGGTGAGAGGGTTGGAATCCAAGTCTAACGATGAAAGGCTGAAAGAGTTGGGTATGTTTAGCCTGGGAAAGAGAAGGCTTAGAGGGGACATGATTGCAGTCTTCAAATATCTGAAGGGCTGTCATGTAGAAGATGGAGCAGATCTCTTCTCTCTTGCTCTGGATTGCAAGATTAGATCTAATAGGTGGAAATTACAAGGAGTCGTTACCGGCTAAATATCAGGAGAAACTTCCTAAGTGTAAGAGTGGTTGAGCAGCGGAACAGACTGCCTTGGGAGGTGGTGGATGCTCCTTCGCTGGACGTTTTTAAGCGGAGGCTGGACGACCATCTTTTGGGTATGTTGTAGGGCTATCTTTCAGCTATGCTCCTGCAGAGTGCAGGGGGTTGGACTAGATGACCGCAAGGTCCCTTCCAACTCTAACATTCTATGATTCTAGGTGGCTCTCGCCTTGTGAAATGGTCTGCCTGAGGAGGTCAGGAAAGATTCCACTCAGTTTTCCCCCTAAGATGAGTTAGTGTGAGCTAGCTCACAGTTTTTTAGCCTCCAGCTTACAGATCTTTATCTCAGCTCAGGAAGGAGGGCTCTAAAGCAAACCAATTTATGCAGCGGCCAAATCACTTGCTCACAACTTTAATGCCAGCAGCTCACAAAGCAGAATTTTTGCTCACAAGATTCCACAGCTTAGAGGGAGCGTTGCTCCCACTCCTCTGGCTTTACTCAAAATATGCAAAACTGAGCTATTCCAGGGGACTTTTCTGCACGGGTAATAGGATTGCAACGTACAAAATGGCTTTACAAACTTGCTTGGATACATGAATACGGACTGCGGTCTATCCTGCTGGGTTTAGCTTATTGTAAGTAGGATCCTATTATGTAATTTATGTACCGCTTTATGCATCACGTGAACATCTCTGCTGCGCTTCAGTTCCTTCTGGCGGTTCCAGACCTCTAGGATTCTAATGCATCGGGCTATCGAAGGTCCCATTTTGTCGGTTGCCCCGGCTCACTCTCTGTAATCCGCCTGGAGTCCCAAGAAGAAAGATGGAATATAAATACAGTAAATAGATGATTACAGATGTTTCGGCAGGGCAGGATGTATACATTCAGTAAAGGCAGAAGTGAAGGCCGACTTGGTGAACGCCACGTCATTGGCTCAGAACTACGCAGCTGTTGTCTGGTTCAAATGAAACCCCTTTGGCTGGGGAAGGTTGCCTCATAGGCCCAATCTGCATTTAGCATTTGCTCAGTTGTTTTACCAAACCCACCCTGGAACAGAAAAAGATGGAGCTCAAAACCACATTCAACTAACCCCCCAATGCCGTACTGACTGCAGAGTCACCCCCCCAATGGCCATAAAACAGCCATAAATCTATGCAGACAGCCACAATCAGGGGTCGTTTCGTAGAAAAAGAGCTAGGGGAACTCATTAGCATAACTCATTAGCATATGCCACACCCCCTGACATCACCGGAAGTGTGTCATAAGGCCACACCCCCTGACGTCACCGGAAGTGTGTCATAAGGCCACACACCCCGTCCCCAACGATCCCGGCCGCCGCCGGCCTTGCAGTTCCACTGCCGAGCCCCATGAGGGGCCCGGCAGTGGGCCTGCAAGGCCAGCGGGAGTGCAAGGAAGCCCCGCGAAGGCCCTCCCTGGCCCCAGGCAGGCAGGGGTGGGGAGAGGCAGGGAGGAAGCAACTTACCCTCCCTCTTCTCCTGCCTCCTCCTGGCTGAATGAGGGCCGGAAGCGGGGCGGCCGGAAGCAGGGGGCGGGGCTTCGTCATGTGCCCCGCCCCCGTACCTCACCCGGGGGAACTGTGATCCCCCGCGATTCCCCCCCGAGATGACCTCTGGCCACAATAAAACCAGGGATCAAACAGTGAAAGCGGCATGCTGTCTGGACACTGCCATAAAATGCAACAATCAAAGTGAAAGAGGCATGCAATGTAGACGGGAATTTCTGTTCCAGTGTGGGTTTGGTATAACAGCAGAGCAAATGCTAGATGCAGACTGGGCCATAGTTTGAGCGGAACGGGAGAAGCAGTTTCAGGTGATCCAGGGAAGAATAGGTAGGAAGCACTTCTGAAAAGCCCGTTTCTCTTCCTCTCCCACACCGCTCGTGGCTTTTTCTTTTTCTTTTTGCACTCCACGATAGATTCTCTGTGAAGACCTTGCTGGAAAAATATACCACAGAGCCCATCGATGACTCGTCAGAGGAGTTTGTGAATTTCGCCGCCATCTTGGAACACATTCTCAGCCATCGTTTCAAAGGGGACCACGGTAAAGTTTGCGTCGAGGGGCGATGAGGTATCATCTGAACGCTTTATGATTCAGGAAGGGTGCTTTGCCCAGCTCCTGGGGCCGTGTGAAACCTGCCAAGCGTGTTTGTGTGTGTATGCAGGGAGCATCTGAGCTTTGACTACCCTGTTTCCCCGAAAATAAGACCTACCCCAAAAATGAGCCCTAGCAGGATTTCTATGCATTTGTGGTATAAGCCCTAGTGTGTCTTCTTGAGAAAAAATAAATATAAGACAGTGTCTTATTTTCAGGGAAACATGGTAATACATGCATTTCCTGAATGTTGTGGGGCAAATGCTGGGAATCCCCTTTTCTACATGTGATCAATGTTCCCTCTAAGCTGAGTTAGTGTGAGCCAGCTCACAGTTTTTAAGCCTCCGGTTCACAGATTTTTGTCATAGCTCAGGAAGGATGACTCCAGAGCAAATTGATTTATGCAGTAGCCAAATCGCTTGCTCACAACTTTAATGCCAGTAGCTTACAAAATAGAACTTTTGCTCACAAGACTCCACAGCTTAGAGGGAGCATTGCATGTGATTAATGAATCCCATAGTGATTCTCTTAAGTGCTTGGGTCGGCTGCCAAGTACACTTTCCTTTGAGCCGCTATTCACAACCATTACAACGACCTTGTAAGAGGGGCCAGGATTATTATTCCCCCTGTACACATTTCTGAAGTCATTACTTGCCAGCGTCAAGTGGTGAATTTGACAGCTGAGCTCAGCGTTTCGTGAGGCTTTCCCCTCACCCAGCCTGTGGTCTCAACCACTATACGATAAATATGGACAAACACGACCCAGTCAGAAAATAAGTATAAAGACAACAGTCGTGAGAGTCTGACCCACAAATCAAGCAGTCACCAAGTCTTGCAAAGAAAAAGCTTCCTATGTATTATAATCTAAAGCACTACAACATCATTAATAAATGATAAGAAAATCCTTGTGCATAGGTACATAATCAACGTCGTCTCCGGATTATATAACAGCGTTTCAAAATTGGATCTTCCTCAGGAGATATTAGAGTAGTACAAAAGCTCTCTGTATTCATGAAGTGCTTGACAACAAGTCATAAGGAATACTACATTGGGGCCCCGGTCACACGGGAGGATTTGCCCCACGGGAGGGACGGATCGGGGGCACATCAAGCAGGCGCGATCATACCGCAACTTCTGGAAAGCAGCACGCACCCGTCCCCGATCCATCCCTTCCAGGCGAAAACCCGCCGCAAAAAGGTAGCACCAAAAGAGTACTACCTACCTGTTGATGCGCAGCATGGGCCGGCGTCTGATCGCCAACGCGCCCGTCTCCCTGCAGCATACGGAAGCCTTGTAGAACTGTGCATGCACGCACATGCACAGCAAGCTCACCTCACTCACCAATCTTGGCTTCCCGCTCTCCAATCAATGGCTTCCTTCCGGCATCTGATCATGCCAGGGAGGACCTGCGCAGCTGCTGGGGGGATCTGTCTACTCCCCCCGCCGCACTTCTCTTTTGATGCGGCTCAGAAAAGCCGCACTTCAGCCGCACCTTTTCCCCCAGTGTGACCGGGGCTTCAGATAGGACTCTGATCTCAATAAATGTTCAGGCTCAAATATGCTGCTAAGCTTCTAAATGGATCCCGGGACTTTGATTATGTACCTATGCACAAGGATTTTATTATGATTTGTTAATGATGATTTATTAATGATGTTGTAGTGCTTTAGATTATAATACATAGGAAGCTTTTTCTTTGCAAGTCTTGGTGACTGCTTGATTTGTGGGTCAGACTCTCATGACTATACTTACTTTCTCAACCACTATACTACAGGAGCTTTGCTGTTGACATAGTAGTTCAGGATACATTGGAGGTTGCCGAAGCAAGCTAACTTTTAGCTCCATCGTTTCTGGAAGCCAAATTTCCCATGTGCAGCAATTTTAGGAAAGGAAGAGAAAGAACAGGCAAGGTTTTAATGACCAGCTTGTTTCATAGAACAAAGTTTGAGTCCAGGGGCACCTTTAAGAACAACAAAGTTGAATTCTGGGTATAAGTTTTCACGTGTGTGCATCTGTATCTGAAGAAGTGAATTGTAATTTTGTGTAAGCATTAGTGATTCCTAAAAAGAATCCGGTATCTCTCACATTTATAGTCCCCAGGGATCTTCTGAAGAAGCGTGCATGCACGTGAAAGCTTATACCCAGAATAAAAAATTGTTGGTCTTAAAAGTGCCCCTGGACTCAAACTTCATTCTACTGCTTCAGTCCAACATGGCTACCCACCTGAATCCAGCTTGTGTCATGGTTGCCTCCTAGGAAGAGTCTACCTACAGCCTATTTTCACCTCTCCTTCCAGGTCCTGTCAGCTGGTTCAGCTCCGATGGGCAACGTGGCTTCTGGGATTATATCCGCTTGGCCTGTAGCAAGGTCCCAAATAACTGTGTCAGTAGCATTGAAAACATGGAGAACATCAGCACCTCCAGAGCCAAGGTAAGAAGCCCCCCAGTTGTTTGCAGCCAAGCTGCTGAATGCCCACAGGGGGCAGGGGATCATGTGGAGAAGGTCGTCTTTAAAAATTGTTGTTGTTGTCACAGTTAGACAGTTGACTGGTAGATGGTGTTCTTCAATTCAAGATCTAGTTCTTGAATTCCCAAGTTCTTGGGAATTGCAGACGTATCTTCGCAGGATTTTTGCTGTCCCAAGCAACACTGTCTTCTGGAGCTGAGCTGGTGTTATTTGCTCAAGTCTCAGGCGTTTCCCGAGACTTCTGGGCACTGATCCAAGGGCTCCAATGACAACTGGCATGCTGGTCACCTTCTTCTCCCAGAGGAACTCTAACTCTATTCATAGGTCTTGGTATTTAGTGATCTTCTCCTGTTCTTTCTTTCCTATCCTGCCATCTCCTAGGATTGCAGTGTCAGTGATCCAAACCCTATTTCTCATTTTTTCCTACAATTGTGATATCAGGGGTGTTATGCTCCAGGTGTTTATCTGTTTATAATCCAAAGTCCCAAATAATCTTCGTTTTATCTTGTCTGGAGATCAAGTTAATTCGTGCCATAGTATTCCCCATTACTGTGTATGGGTATGAAAGTTGGACAATGAAGAAAGCGGACAGGAAGAAAGTTGATTCATTTGAAATGTGGTGTTGGAGGGGTGCTTTATGGGTACTGTGGACCTCCAAAAGGAAAAATAAGTTGGCTCTACATGAAATCAAGCCTGACCTCTCCCTAGAAGCTAAAATGGCTAAACTGAAGCTATTGCCCTTTGAGCAGGTTATGAAAAGACAAGAGTCACTGGAAAAGACAATAATGGCAAGAAAAGTTGAAGGCAGCAGGAAAAGAGGAAGACCCAAGATGGACTGACTCCGTTTGGTGTAGAAGAGAAGAAGTGAAAAGATTGTATTTATACTCCACCCTTCACTACCCAAAGGAGTTTCAGAGTGGCTTACAAACTCCTTTCCCTTCCCCTCCCCACAACAGACACCCTGTGAGGTAGGTGGGGCTGAGGGAGCTCTTGACAGAAACTGCTCTTTTTCAAGAACAGCTCTTATCAGAGCTATGGCTTGCCCAAGGTCATCCAGCAGGTGCAAGTGGAGGAGTGGGGAATCAAACCCGGTTCTCCCAGATTAGAGTCCGGCGCACTTAACCACGACACCAAAGTGCACAGACTCTAATCTGGGAGAACTGGGTTTGATTCCCCACTCCTCCACACACAGCTGTTGATGTGACCTTGGGTCAGTCACAAGTTCTTTCAGAGCTGTTCTCTCACAAGCAGTTCTCAAAAGAGTTCTCTCAGCCCCGCCCACCTCACAGGGTATCTGTTGTGGGGAGGGGAAGGGAAAGGAGATTATAAGATGCTCTGAGACTCCTCTTGATATTGAAGAGCAGGGTATAAATCCCTCCTCCTCCTCCTCCTCCTCCTCCTCCTCCTCCTCCTTCTTCTGTCGAGGAAGTCCAGGGTTGCTATGCAGAGGCAGGCAGTGGCAAACCACCTCCGAATGTGTCTTGGCTTGAAAACCCTACAGGGTCGTCATAGGTTGCCTGTGACTTGATGGCATTTTCCACCACCACTGTTAGCTTCTGCTGCTGAGTGGATAGTTGGATAGAGAGGCCATGGGAGGTGTGCCCTTCCCAAGGACCAACACCCCGAGTCTGGATCACGGACTAAATACACTTTTGATCACCATGTATTGCCCTTTCAAATGTTCAGAGTGTTCCATGTACATTACATTGTAATCCTTACAACAACCCTGTAAGGTAGGTCAGTAGTATCACCCCATCTTGTCAAAAGGAGGCTGAGCATCTCACCCTATGTCCACAGAGTACATTCCTGACAAAGTGAGATTCAAAACCAGAGAATTTCTGACTCATAGCTCCAATAATAAACTTTCTGTTTCAGGGGCGCGCATGGATCCGTGTGGCTCTAATGGAGAAGCGCATGTCCGAGTACATTGCCACAGCACTGCGGGACACCAGAACCACCAGGTAGGAGCCTCCATGGATTCGGGTTGCCAACAGGCCTGGAGATAAATGCCCTGTCCCTTTAACAAAGAGTTGAAACTTTGCGTGGCATGGAGACAGATAACATCACCTGGCAAACAGAATCCATTAAGCCTTGTTTAAAGAGGAAGGGTTAGGGATGCCACCCTCCAGGTGGGACCTGGGGATCCCCTGGAATTATACCTCATCCTCAGACTACAGAGATCAGTTCCCCTTATCTAATATATCTTCATATCTCCACAGTTGTTCTTTGGTAAATAAAGTGGGATTTATAAAGGCCTCCAATGGTGAAACCCATTTGGGTATTTTTATATAAAACGTGTTTTTAACCTCTTCCCATATCTTCAGTAGAGATGCTCTCAACATATGTTGTTTGAAATACTTATGGATATTGCTTTTCTCATACTATACAAAAGCGTGCCAGCCTAGTTTCAAATCATGACCTTCTAGCTTTAACAGTCTTGGATTTTCCAAAATGATCCACTCTTCATCCATGTCAGGGCTACTGCTTTATAATAGAGATGCCAGTCTGATACTGCGAAGCCTCCTCCTCTTTCTTTTGTGTCCTGGTCCATCTGAAAATCTCCAGGAGTTTTCCAACCTGGAGCTGGCAACCCCATTCCCCCCCCCCCCCACCCCCCACTGGTGGCCAGGGAGGATCTAGCAACTCTAGGCATTGCTTAGTTACTCCAGGCCTGTTGGCAACCCTACCAGAGCTCATATCAAACAGAATTTGAGATTTTCTAGGATGTTCATTTCCTAGGATGTTCACAGTCTTTCGCTTTTGCTCCACTGTTGTCCCTGGTCTGATTCTGGAGCTTTTTGAAGCGCTGCACTTAGAAACACACGCTCTGCAAACATAGATAGATATTTCTGGCTGCTTCTGGAATTGCCGCAGCCCCCAGTTATAGGCTAAAACGCCAGTTTGGTGTAGTGGTTAAGTGCGCGGACTCTAATCTGGGAGAACCAGGTTTGATTCCCCACTCCACTTGCACCTGCTGGATGACCTTGGGCAAGCCATAGTTCTGAAAAGAGCTGTTCTTGAAAAAGAGCAGTTCTCAGTCAAGAGCTCTTTCAGCCCCACCTACCTCACAGGATGTCTGTTGTGGGGAGAGGAAGGGAAAGGAGTTTGTAAGCCGCTCTGAGACACCTTTGGGTAGTGAAGGGTGGGGTATAAATCCAATCTCTTCTCTTCTTCTTCTAAAAAGAAAACTGAATTCTCACAGACCGTCACCATATATCCGTGGCTTGCTCTGTGTCAGGCCTAAATTAGGAGGTAAATGTAATGCCTGCTGTAGGCACAAAAGCTTTTCACAGTAGCCTGGAAGCCCCTGGAAATTATTGCACTTTGTTGATAGGGAGATGCTTGCCAAATGTGTCTTGCAAAATTTCAGCTTCCTAGGTGTAGGGTTGCCAGGTCCCTCTGGCCACCGGTGAGGGATGGGGGGGGGGGGTAAGGTTGCCAGATCCAGGTTGGGAAACTCCTGGTGATTTGGGGATGGAGTCCTGAAGAGGACAGGGACCTCAGTGGGGTACAATGCCAAAGAGACCACCCTCCAAATGATCCATTTTCTCCAGTGGAACTGATCTGTATAGCCTGGAGAGAAGCTGTAATTCCAAGGGAACCCCAGGTCCCACCTGAAGGCTGGCATCCCTACCTAGAGGCACCATTTGGGAATATCTAGGACATTTTTTCTCCCATGATCAAGGAGCATGATAAGAGTAAAGGTTTCCCTTGCTTGAAAGCCAGTCGAATCCAACTCTAGGGGGCGGTGCTCATCTCCGTTTCCAAGCCAAAGAGCCAGCGCTGTCCGAAGACGTTTCCATGGTCATGTGACCAGCATGACTAAACACCAAGGCGCACGGAACGCTGTTACCTTCCCACTGAAGTGGTACCTATTTATCTACTTGCAATTTCTTGCTTTCGAACTGCTAGGTTGGCAGGAGCTGGGGCCGGAGATGGGAGCTCACTCCGTCCCACGGCACTCGAGTCTCGTAGCAATCCCTAAAACAAAGAATCCAAGCAGGACATACAGAGCTTTAAAGGTAACTAATAACCAACATTTTGGACTAAGCCCCAATAAACCAGAAAAGAAGCAATGTGGTTTTTGCGACTCAATCCAGATAGAGGACAAACTGTTGGATTCTGCACCAGCTGTGGCAGGTTCTCTCATTCCAGGAACCCAGAGTACCAATGCGTGGATTGGGGTGCAAGCCCACTTGGCCTGAGTTCCTGCCTCATGGTAGTGGCAGCCTCAGAAGATGGCTGGGAAGTCTAATTCAGAGATACCTGTAGTGGTCCAGGACAGCTCTGTTCCCCGGCAGAAAAACACGCCATTTACAGGAGAGCGATTTCCACAAAGCTGTGAAAGTTCTCTGCTGATGGTCCAGTTTCTCAACAAAATGTTGGCGGTTTTGTGGGAAAGACTGGCGATTCAAGCCCCAGGAAACGCCTTCCCTCCATTTAATTGACAGTCTGACTCATGTATACTGTTTCTTTCCAGAAGATTCTACGACGACGGGGCAATTATGCTAAGAGAAGAATCCACAGTCCTCACAGGGATGCTGATTGGCCTCAGTGCCATCGACTTCAGGTAGGCGCCCAGCCCCCCTTCTCTCCCTGAGTCCACTGTCAAAGAATATCCATTCTTCAAGGGCTATTTGGCATACTCCAGTGTCATCCTAAGCTGTGTGACCTCCTTCTAAGACCAATCGACTTAGGGTTGCCAGTTCTGGGTTGGGAAATACCTGGAGGTTTTTGGGGGTGGAGCCTGAGGAAGGCGGGGTTTGGGGAGGGGAGGGACTTCAGTGGAGTATAATGCCATACAGTCCACCTTCCAAAGTAGCCATTTTCTCCAGGTGCACTGATTTCTGTTGCCTAGAGATCAGATGCAATAGCTGATCTCCAGGCACCACCTGGAGGCTGGCAACCAGACACCTCACAGAGTTCCAGAGGCAAAAATAAAAAAGGTCTCTGTCCCCCAAGAGCTTACAATGTAAAACAGACAATGAAAAAAGTAGGGGGGGACGAGAGGTGGCAGTGATGAATGTGGAAATATGAAGCTTCTTTGTGTACTTGTAATAATGCCTCAATAACCATTTCTCTTTACCCAGTCTTTTAACTGAAGGAAGCAGACTTTAAAAGACATTATTGTGATCTACTTCTAGTCTGGGGGCTATTTTATGGATATTATTTTAAGCTTCTGAATGTTGTTTTTATGGCCAGGCTTGTAGTGGATGCCACCATAAAATGGCTGCTGAGGGTGGGTGGGATCAGTCATAAAATGGCTGCCACTGGGGCGAATCACATGACATTGAAGGTGACAAGCCAAGGGTGCGCTTATAATTAGGGTTGCCAGGTCCAGTTTTGTCCCCAGCGGGGGACTTTGGGGGGCATTCCTTGAGGGGATGGGGCATCCCCAACACGATGACATCGCATTGGGGATGTCTCTGCCCCAAGCCCTGCCCCCAAGAACAATCACCTATGGCAATCCCTCTCCCTCCCCTCCTGTGAGATTTAAAGGGCCCACTGGCCAGAAGCAGTTCGGTGTAGTGGTTAAGTGCACGGGCTCTAATGTGGGAGAACCGGGTGTTATTCCCCATTCCTCCACTCGCACCTGCTGGATGCAAGCCATAGTTCTGGCACAACTGTTCTTGAAAAAGAGCCATCCTCGAAAGGCGCAGCTTAATAACTTCAATGTAATCCTAGAGTTCTCTCATGTTCTCTTTGTAAATAATGCTTAATTGATATGAGCAATCTGTTGGATATGTGTTTATATATTCTGTTGGGTTATGACCACTAGCCCATCTTTGTACTTTAATGAATGTAATATACAGTTTTGATCATACACAGTTGTGAATCATTGATGGTCTTCCCTTGGTTTGGTGTCGTGGTTAAGTGCGCGGACTCTAATCTGGGAGAACCGGGTTTGATTCCCCAGTCCTCCACTTGCACCTGGCTGGATGACCTTGGGCAAGCCATAGTTCTGGTAAGAGCTGTCCTTGAGAAAGAGCAGTTTCTGTCAGAGCTCTCTCAGCCCCACCTACCTCACAGGGTGTCTGTTGTGGGGAGGGGAAGGGGAAGGAGTTTGTAAGCTGCTCTGAGACACCTTCGGGTAGTGAAGGGCGGGGTATAAATCCAACCTCCTCCTCCTTTAAATGCCCCTAGCCAGTGAGTCCCTGTACGCCAAATCTACAAGTGACGAATCGCCACTTGGAGTTGACGCTTGTGGCTGGCGGCCACCCCTCTCCCTCTCCTATCGGCTGGAGGGCCCCTTAAGTCTCTCAGGAGAGAAGGGAGAGGGGCAGCTGTGGGTGGTCGGGCTTGGGGTGGGGTTTCCTCACTGGCCAGCTGGCCACCGGTGGGCTGAAGCCCTGAAAATTGGGGGGACCCCCACCTGAACCGGGGGTCTGGCAACTCTGCTTATAATGAAGGCAGATGTTTCCACATGGGTGCTCCTTACAAAGGTGATGTCTCCTCAGGGTTTCTGAAGCACTGCCTGTGCCACTGAGGTGGAGAAGAATATGAATTGACTCCTTGTCTTTGGGGGGGAAAGGAAGTGGGCACCGGGAAACACTGGTGGGCACCATGACGACCATGGGCATGGGGTTGCCATCCTCCAGGTGGGGCCTGGTGATCCCCCAGATTTACACCTGTTCCCCAGACAACACATATGTTCCTAGGTTTGCCAGCAGGAGGGATTTGGGGGTGGGGCATTCTGGGAAGAGGCGGGGATGTCAGCATGTTGGCGAAGTTGGGGGCAACGCTCTACTTTTTGGGCAAAACTCTGTGGTAAAAAGGGCCTCAGACCATAGAAATTTGCCTCAGAAGCCAAGTGTCACCCCCCCCCCCAATGTCACCGGCACGCTGAGATCACTTCCAGGTGACATCAGCGCATCGCACACAGGATGCGTTCAGACGCGGCGTTTCAGCCGGCATAAACTGTACCGGTTGGAACCGGTGCAGTTTATGCCGGCTGAAACCCGATCACACTCACCTCCATTTTGTGGATCCCATTGCTGTATGCCCGCTCACACGCTGCGGGCGTCGGCTTTTTTTTTAAACTCAGTTTGAGCATGCGCATAGGCAGCCATCCACAGAATGGCGATCTTTGTGCATGCTCAAAACACCCCATATTACATTTAAACTTTAAAGGTAAGGACTTACCTTTAAAGTTTAAAGACCAAACTGGCCTCCCTGAAGTCCCGGACTCCTCCGAAACGCTACACTAAGGGGCTTTTTTTTTTTTTTAAACAAATGCTCAGGGCGAAGCTTTGCCCAAGCGCACATTGCTTAGTTTAAAAATAAATGACAGGGGGAAATCGGAAGCCTCAGGCTTCCGAACGGAAGTGGCTAGACACCGGTGGAGAGCGATCAGACGGGGGGTACATTGATAGCAACCGTTGTACTCAGGATACCACCACTTGGGGACCTAGTGGCAGAGTACAATGGTTTAAAGGCCTTTACAACGGTTAGGGACGGGAGGCAGATGTTCGCCGTCTGAACGCCGGTAAGTACACCGGTTGGAACCGGCACCTATTCTGTTGTAAAGCCCCCGTCTGAATGCACCCACAACATTGGAATCACCTCCTGCCGGCCAACAGGCCAGCGGCAGGCAGGAGCCTTCGAAAGCAGGGGATCCCCTGCCCCCACCTGGGGAATAGTATCCCTAGATCAGGGGTGTAAAACACAAGGCCCGGGGGCCCACAAGCAACCGATGCAAGGAGGAAGCGCTGGGGGGGAGTGAGCAGAGGCACTCCATTGGGGCTTCAGCACAGCAGAAAAACCCCACCTGCAGCAGTCAGGCACCTTGGGAGCATCTGCCCAGGGCTGCACTGCTACCTCTCCAGTCTACCTATGTTGGTTTTCCTCTGTACCCCCCTCCCAGCCCACGGGGCCTTGCAGTGAGGATACACCAACTCCGAACTTAACCAGCAGCTGTCCTTTATACAGTTCCTATCTGGCATTACCTTTTATGGCACACATGGGCCAGGTCGACAAAGTGACTAAAAACAGGGTTTCGGCTGTCGCTAGTTTTTATTACCAACAAGGAAATTAGCTCGTTCTGGCCGCTCTTCGAATTTTCCGGGCCACAGTAGTTTCTACTGTATGGAATCCTTGTATGGATCCAGAGCTTTAATAAAGAGACTGAGCGAATTTATGCAATCTTTTTGCGACACATTCTTGGATTACCTAACTCTGTTACCTATTACACTCTCTGTGCTGGACTGGGCCTCCATCTTCTAGACTCGCGGGCATGGGTCACTACTATTAAATATTGGCTTCACATTCATTTTAGTGCCCCTCAGAATAGCCTTATTGCACACTTGACTATGCACTCATATGTATCCAAGTGGGCACAGGCTATAATTTCTAAAATACGCTCAATTGGCATCGACCTGGACATCTTGGAAAATCAAGATGAGACCTTTATATACTGGACAATTTGCAGAAGAATTTGGGACATTGAAGCCCAAACAATCCAGGCTGGTGCCGGGGGCACTTGTTCCCCCCTTTCCCTTGGCCTCCGATATGCACCAAATAGTATGGCCCAATACTTCTCTAATCTGGTGATCCCGCTGCAACGCAGAGCCTTTATGCTGGCCAGATTGAATGTTTTCCCCTCATCTTGGGTCTCAGGTAGATACAGAGGCATCCTGAAATGTGACAGAATTTGCAATTGTTCACCCAGAGAACCCGACACTTTAGACCATATTCTGCTATGCTGCCCCCTCCACTCACATTTTCGACTACTTCTGATTAACCTTTTACTGTCCAGGATCAGTTCTGATAATGCAATTAGGTTTCTCCTAGCTGATAAGTCACCAGATGTTACTGTACAGTTTGCTGATTTTTTTGGCTAAGATTTTGGTAGCAAGGAACTATTCTTAATATCGGTGTTTTAAGGCTTACAGACGTAATTTTACCTTGATGGAAGTTTTATCTTACTGATTCTTTCATATGCCAATAAAGGTTCTGTCTGTCTGTCAAAAGTGAGTATGTCAGAGCCGGCCCTTGTAACAAATGAGTTTGACACCTCTGCCCTAGATGTTCCCGGGGTGGGGGGTGGAAACTGCCACTTTGGAGGGTGGACTCTATGACGTCATACCCTCCCCTTCCCAAAGCCTGCCCCCCCCAAGTTCCACCCCCAAATCTCCAGGAATTTCCCAATCCGGAGCTGGCAAGCCGACACAGACACCCCACTGGGGACCACTACTGTAGCACTTGACCTATTCTTCATTGGTAGACTGTCATTAATCCACAGACATTCCAGTCTTCCCAAACAGTGGTGGGTGGGGCAATGTGTGGAGCAGGACGCTGGACTAGAGGGACCACTGGTCTGATCCAGCAGGCCACCTGTGATGTTATGCTCTGAACAACATAAGGAACAGCAAAAAAGGACTCTTAATCCTCCTTGACTGACCATTCTGGCTTAGTGTATGCCAGCTTTTGAGATTGGGTCCCATTACAGCCATGCTTGAATAAGAATCATTCGAAATGCGGCAACAGGCATCCGGATTACGCATCGGCTTTTTATGGCTTAGAAAATTTGATGAATTGCACTCCAATTTGGACTCTGATATTTGCTTCTATTTTGGAGCAGACACATGGAAAGATGGTAGACTGTGCTTCTATTATGCTTTATTATTGCACCTTGGCCAATTGATCCTTATTATACTTGCTGTTATCTGTTCCAACCTGACTGCTCAGCAATTTCATTGAGTGCCCACGAGTCCTTGTATTCTGAGAAAGGGAGAAAGGTACTTCTTTCTCAACCTGCTCTATCCCACGCATAATCTTATAAACCTCGACCATGTCACGTCGTTTCTCCAAGCTAAAGAGCCCCAAGCGTTTTAACCTTTCTTCTTATTAGTATTCTTACGCCCTCTGGGTCTCCAGGAAGGGCACCTGGAGGCTCCATAAGCAAACCTGATTTTCCTTGCTTGTGTCCCCTGTCCTGGTTGTATCTTTCAGTTTCTGCTTGAAAGGCGAAATCATGGATGGCAAGACACCCGTGGTCATTGACTATACTCCGTACCTGAAGTTTACACAGAGGTAACAGCAACTGATTGAGGGGACAGTGTGGGGGAGTGCAAGCTTTGGTTCCCAGGGCTGGAAAAGACTACATTTGAGGAACTCTGAGCCAAGTGAAGCCAGAAATTTACAAGTTATCATTCGGAATGAATTTTCAGCTCTTAGGTATAGATGATAGCTAGCCATGTTTGTCTGTAGCAGTAGAAAAGAACAAGAGTCCTATAGCACCTTAAAGACTAACAAAATATGTGGCAGGGGAGGAGCTTTCGTGACAAAAGCTCATACCCTGGCACATAGAATCATAGAATGTTAGAGTTGGAAGGGATCTTTGGAGGTCATCAAGTCCAACCCCCTGCACTCTGCAGGAGCATAGCCGAAAGATAGCCCTACAACATACCCGAGAGATGGTTGTCCAACCTCTGCTTGAAAACGTCCCGTGAAGGAGCATCCACCACCTCCCAAGGCAGACTGTTCCACTGCTCAACCACTCTTACAGTTAAAAAGTTTCTCCTGATATTTAGCCGGTAACGACTCCCTTATAATTTCCACCCATTAGATCTGGTCTTGCAATCCGGAGCAAGAGAGAATAGATCTGCTCCATCTTCTACATGACAGCCCTTCAAATATTTGAAGACTGCAATCATGTCCCCTCTAAGCCTTCTCTTTCCCAAGTGAAACAAACCCAACTCTTTCAGTTTTGTTAGTCGTTAAGGTGCTATTGGACTCTTGCTCTTTTCTACAGCTCTTAGGAAGAATTCCGTTTGGGGGTCGGTGAGATGGGGGGGGGGGAGAATGTACAATTTTTGATTCAGACTCAGATATTAAAGTGTCCTAAGTTGTGTCCTGCCAACATAGCAGTTCGAAAGCAAGAAATTGCAAGTAGATAAATAGGTGCCGCTTTGGTAGGAAGGTAACAGCGTTCCGTGCGCCTCGGCATTTAGTCATGCCGGCCACATGACCATGGAAACGTCTTCAGACAGCGCTGGCTCTTTGGCTTGGAAATGGAGATGAGCACCGCCCCCTAGAGTCGGATTCGACAGGCTTTCAAGCAAGGGAAACCTTTACCTTTATGTTGTGTTATGTGCCAGTATTACATATCTTTGTTCCTAAATACCAGGCACCACCATGAAATAACCAGGGACTATTGAATCAGTTTTTGGCTTGTCTGTAACTCAGTCACAAATCTTCCATGAGCTAGAACATTTATTTAATTGAAAGATTCAGCTTTCTGCCCCCCATTAATCACATGCACAAGTGACATATTTCAGACTTGGAGTCTACCCATCTAGCAGACTGTGGTAAGACTGTACCACTTAAAACGACAAGTGAGGGAATGCCACCTTTCAAAACTCTCTCATGTTTTTTTTTTTTTTAATCTTCCTGCAAATAGAAAGCTAGGAGGAGATGGATGGGACGGAACCTTTACACAAATTATTTTTCTTTCAGGGAGTTTTCTTTTTGTGTGTGTGTGTGGGAGAGCATTCCCCCCTGTTTTGGTAAGAAATTGTGTACGAGCAGGGCTATTTTTGGGCAGGAGCGCACAGGAACGGAGTTCTGGCTGGCTTCAGAGCTGACCACGCCCACTACAGCCAAAACCTCTGCGTGCCTGGCTACAGAGGGAAGGCCTGGAGAGCGACCCCCCTCCGGTGACTCTGAGGCGGGCAGGCCAGGGGGGGCCCTGGAAGGATCAAGGAGGCATTTAAATGCCTCCCTGTCCCTTCCCCGGCCTGTCCAAGGGTTGGCTTGCCCGGGCGCCCCCCAGCCGTGGGGGTGCCCGGGCAAGCCAAAGGAAGGCACGGGGTGTGGCCTAATATGCTAATATGTTTCTGCTGTTGGGTGTGGCCTATTATGCTAATGAGTTCCTGCCGGGCTTTTTCTACCAAAAAAGCCCTGTGTACGATTAATTGATCCCTTCAAAGGAAGGCACGGGGGTGTGGCCTAATATGCAAATGTCTTTCTGCTGTTGGGTGTGGCCTACCATGCTAATTAGTTACTGCTGAGCTTTTTCTACAAAAAAAGTCCTGTGTACGATTAATTGATCACCAAAGCTCTGCTTTTAGAGTATGCCACACCTGTTCATCCCAATTTTTTGGTATCCCCCCCCCTCGAAAATCTCTTCCTTCCTATAACTCTCTGTGGACTACCCAAAGCCTTTTAAGCCTGTTTATCCTGGCCAGACTAAATGCCCACGCCTCGGCAGTTATGAGGGAAAGGTTCACGCGTTGACCTTATTCAGATTGAATCTGCCCCTGTTCCTTAGGTAAGATGGACACACTTGCACATATTCTTTTTGGTGGGTCCTTTGTATGCTAACCTCAGGAGGCAGTATAGTTCACCATGCTTTCCAGCTCATTCTGATAGATATCCTTATGACCTAGTTGCATGTCTACTTGCTGACAGGCATCCAAAAAGGACTCCAGCAGCGGCAAGATTTTTTTCTCCTTGTGTCTATTAGGTGATAAGTGATTAACAATAACTATTCACTGCTCAAGATCAAGGCACCATAGAGCTTTTGCTGGATAAAAGGAAAGGGATGCAATCAGGACTGTACCACATCACTTGCCAATGCTCCCTCTAAGCTGTGGAGTCTTGTGAGCAAAAATTCTACTTTGTGAGCTACTGGTGTTGGAAGTTGTGAGCGAGCGACTTGGCTGCTGCATAAGTTAGTTTGCTCTGGGGAGCCATCCTTCCTGAGCTAAGATAAGGATGTGTGCGCTGGAGGCTAAAAAACTGTGAGCGAGCTCACACTAACTCAGCTTAGAGGGAACACGGCTCGTCATCAGGACTGTACCACATCGTTCTGCCGCGTGTGCTCCCCTGATCTGAAAGGTGTTCTTTAGCAGCACTTGTCAAGACACCCCGAGCCCTTCCTCACTCTGAACGTCTCAGGTTCTTCACCCTGAATGTCTCCCTCTCTCTGTCGGCAGCTACGATTACTTCAGTGAAGAGGAGGAACGGCACAGCTTGGAGAGCAGCACCAGCGAAGACAGCTCCCCCGAACACCCCTACGTGCCCCTGATGGCCGTGGAAGACAGCTGGTACAACAAGTGGCGGAAAATGGAGCAGAAGTTCCGCATTGTGTATGCGCAAAAGGTACCTGGCTCTCAAATGGCAGGGCTGCTAGCTTGCTCTCTAGTCCATTCCGCATTTACCTGCCATTCCGGATTTTCTCAGTGAGCCAGTTTGGTGTAGTGGTTGTGTACGCGGACTCTAATCTGGGAGAACCGGGTTTGATTCCCCACTCCTCCACATGCAGCCAGGTGGGTGACCTTGGGCGAGCGAGCCACAGTTCTCTCAGAGCTGTTATCTCAAGAGCAGTCCTCGAAAGAGCTCTCTCAGCCCCACCTACGTACCTCACAGGGTGGTGTCTGTTGTGGGGAGGGGAAGGGAAAGGAGTTTGTACGCCGCTCTGAGACACCTTTGGGTAGTGAAGGGCGGGGTATAAATCCAACCTCTTCTTCTTCAGTGTTCGAGTCAAGGCAATTTAAGTCCAGGGCTAAACAGCATCCAAATAACCCGGGGCAACAGCAGGCTGAAACCGGGCTGACCACTGAAGGGGGGGAATGTGATGCAGAATGGAGAAAAGACCCAGAATAAAAAGAAGATTGAACTCGATGTTAGTCCAGAATGGGAATAAAACCTGGATTAAAAAGAAGGTTGAATTCAATTTTAGTGCAGAATTGCTTGGAGGACACCGCAGTGAAAATGGATTAAAAGGGGACTGTGGAAAGGGCCGCTGCCAGCTTCCCCCACCCCCTTCATTTTGGGTGTCTGCACATGTATTGTTCACAAAAACAATGTCTTGTTTACAAAAACAAGAGTAATCCCCAACGGATCCAGAAGATCTCCCAAAATAATTCAGGACAGCAGGAAAGGGTCCTTTCCGCATTCGCCTGCCACTCTGGATTTTCTGTGTTCTGCAGGCTGTGGAAGGTCGGTAGTTCAGCAGTTCGAGACCCGAGTGTGCCGCATGATGGAGTGAGCTCCTGTCTCTAGTTCCAGATCCTGCCAACCTAGCAGTTCGAAAGCAAGAAATTGCAAGTAGATAAATAGGGACCACTTCGGTGGGAAGGTCACAGCGTTCCGTGCGCCTTGGTGTTTAGTCATGCCGGCCACATGACCACGGAAACGTCTTCGGACAGCGCTGGCTCTTCGGCTTTGAAACGGAGATGAGCACCGCAACCGTAGAGTCGGATTCGACTGGCTTGCGAGCAAGGGAACCTTTACCTTTACCTTTAAAACAGCATCCAAATAACCCGGGGCCACAGCAGGCTGAAACTGGGCTGACCACTGAAGGGAGGGAATGTAACGCAAAATTGGGGAAAAAAACAGAATAAAAAGATGGCTGAACTCGATTTTAGTGCAGAATTGGGGGGGGGGGAACTGGATTAAAAAGAAGGTTGAATTCGATTTTAGTGCAGAATTGCTTGGACACTGCAGTGAATATGGATTAAAAGGACAGTAAAGAAAAGGCCAAAGTGAGGAGACCATGAGAAATATCAAGAACCTGGTCTCCAGATTTCAACAGCTCAACAGTTTGGTGCCGTGGTTAAGTGCGCGGACTCTAATCTGGGGGAACCGGGTTTGATTCCCCAGTCCTCCACTTGCACCTGGCTGGATGACCTTGGGCAAGCCATAGTTCTGTCAGAGCTGTTCTTGAAAAAGAGCAGTATCTGTCAGAGCTCTCTCAGCCCCACCTACCTCGCAGGGAGTCTGTTGTGGGGAGGGGAAGGGAAAGGAGTTTGTAAGCCGCTCTGAGACTCCCTTGGGTAGTGAAGGGTGGGGTATAAATCCAATCTCTTCTTCTTCTTCTTCCTATCTAGGATCCAGGAGTGGGATCTTCTGTTCTCATGTATGGCTCTGCTCCGTGACAGATATCAGAATAGCTTTCCCAGGAAATAAACATGTGGGGACTAAAATAAAGATCTGGGGACTTGTGAAAGCTATCCTGAGCTGAAATATATATTCAAGAGCCTAGACAGTTGGGGAGCTGTAAGGTCTCTCAGACGTTTCAGAAGGTTCCTAAAGAAGCCAGTCCCCTGCTTGAACCAAAACCTGGATATGATCATTATCTCTTTCTCCCGAACATCTGAATTGCTTCATTCCCGAAATCTGACCAGGAACCCAAAAATGTCCCCACCTCAAAATAACTTTGCACTTCAGCAAAGTTTTTTGGCCTTAAGCAAAATATATAGTTGCAAATGGACTTGGGGCTCTCGATATATGGCCAAAACCCAGGTGTTATCAGGAGGTCCACCAGCAGGGCCAGAACTGCAGAAGCCCTCCCACTGTTGCCCCCCCCCCCACAAGCACCAAGAATGCAGAGCATCACTGCCCCAGACAGAGTGTTCCATCTATACCTTGCAGCTAATAGCCAACCATGGACCTCTGCTCCATATAAGAACACAAGAGAAGCCATGTTGGATCAGGCCAATGGCCCGTCCAGTCCAACACTCTGTCACACAGTGGCCAAAACCCAGGGGCCATCAGGATAGGCTTGCCAAGTCCCCCCAGGGGGCGGGGAAAACCCCGCCCCAGAGACCCGTTCCCCGCCGCTGGCGGATCGGGCCCCGGGGGGAACCCCACCCCCAAAGCACGCGACCTGCACCTCACCCGGAAGTGACGCGACCACGCTGGGCACGCTGGGGGCGGGGCCACGGTCATCCAAGGGAAAACTCTATGGTTTTCCCTCGGATGGTCATGGCCCAGCCCCCAGCATGCCCGGCGTGGTTGCGTCACTTCCAGGTGAGAGGGTTGCGGTGTGCGCGCGCGCAATCCAGGAGCAGCACCGGAGTTCCCCGCTCCGGCGCCGATCCGACTTGGGAACCCTACCTCAGGAGGTCCACCAGTGGGGGCAGTTTAACTCCAGAAGCCCTTCCACTGTTGCCCTCCCACAAGCACCAAGAAGACAGAGCATCCCTTCCCCAGACAGAGTGTGTTCCATCTAGACCTTGGGGCTAATAGCCACTGACGGACCTCCGCTCCATATGTTTATCCAGTCCCCTCTTGAAGCTGTCTATACTTGTAGCCACTACCACTTCCTGTGGTAGTGAATTCACATGTTCATGACTCTTTGGATGAAGAAGTACTTCCTTTTATTTGTTCTAAGCCTACTGCTAATCAATCCAATCGAGTGCCCATGAGTCTTCTGCACTGATTTCATCTTCCACCTACACAGTAATGCATTTCTCTCCTCCCTTGACTCCCTCACCGTGGTACACGCGTGTCCCACGTCCCAGGGCTACCTAGAGGAGCTCGTTCGGCTCAGAGAGTCCCAGCTGAAGGACCTGGAGGCGGAGAACAAGCGACTGCAGTTGAGGCTGGAGGAGGTGAAGGTGCAGAACCAGCTTGAGAAACGAGAGCTGGAGGGCGTCATCCTGGAACTGCAAGAGCAGCTGTAAGTAGGCCACAAGCACTGGGGTTCTTCTCACATGGGACACACATGAAGTTACCTTCTAATGAACCCGATCAGCGGTCCATCAAGGTCGGTCTTTACTCAGACTGGGGGTGGCTGTTTGGTTTAGTGGTTAAGAGCACGGACTCTAATCTGGGAGAACCAGGTTTAATTCCCCACTCCTCCACTTGCAGCTGCTGGTGTGACCTTGGGTCAGTTACAAGACATTTCAGAGCTGTTCTCTCAGCAGCAGTCCTCGAAAGAGCTCTCTCAGCCCCACCTACCTCACAGGGTGTCTGTTGTGGGGAGGGGAAGGGAAAGGAGATTGTAAGCCACTCTGAGACATCTTCGGGTAGTGAAGGGCGGGGTATAAATCCAATCTATTCTACTGTTCTTCTTCCTTCAAGGGGAATGCAAGCCAATCTGGAATATGCTGGATTAATCATTTAGTGGAACAAAGTTTGAGTCCAGTTGGCACCTTTAAGATAAACAAAGTTTAATTCTGGGCATACGTTTCCGTGTGCACGTGCCTGAATCTATACTCATTTAGTGATTAGTTTTATTATCGTTCAAGACTTATACCCTAATGGTTAAGAGATTTCAAATTTCAAAACATGCAGATAGACCACAATCATTGTAGTGGAAGGGGGAAAAAAGCAAGAAAACCAAGTCCACTGTGGAAGACCGAAGTCTGTTAAGTAGTGGTTAAGTGCGCGGACTCTAATCTGGGAGAACGGGGTTTGAGTCCCCACTCCTCCACTTGCACCTGCTGATGTGACCTTGGGTCAGTCACAAGCTCTGGCACAGCTGTCCTTGAAAAAGAGCAGTTTGTGTCAGAGTTCTCCCAGCCCCACCCACCTCACAGGGTGTCTGTTGTGGGGAGGGGAAGGGAAAGGAGTTTGTAAGCCGCTCTGAGACTCCAAGTGAAGGGCGGGGTATAAATCCAATCTCTTCTTCTTCTTCTTCTTTTCTGTAAATTAAGATGTGCTCATTTTGCCCAGCTAGAAACTGAATGAAGGGGGGAAATGAACGCTGTAAATGTTCTTTGGTTCCCTTGCCTTGAGCTGACGGGCTGCATTCCCTCCTCCTTGATCAGACTTCCCCCCTCCCACTCTGCCCCCAGGACGGGCCTGATCCCCTCCGACAACAGCCAGTTTACCCAACTCTCCAAGGAATTGGCTGCGCCCTTGGTGAACCAGTGGCCCTCCCTGGGCACCCTGAACGGCAACGAAGGTCGCTTGGAAGCCAAAATGTACAGAAGGTAAGCACGGGCGTAAAAGGCACTGCTCCTCCTTCCAGAAGCCTACTCGGGGTGGGAAATGGGACACAAAGACATCTAGGCCAGTGGTCATTTTGGACCTACCCATAATCCTAAGAAGGTAGCATGGTAGTCTCCAAGCTGCAAGCACGTGACATTATAATCAGGGGGTTTTTTGTAGAAAACCCCAGCAGGAACTCATTAGCATAATTGGCCACACCCAACAGCAGAAACATATTAGCATATTAGGCCACACCCCCAACAGCACAGCTCATTAGCATATGAGGCCACACCCCTGTGTTACCAGAAGTGTACTCATCCAGCCACACCCACCTTTTGCTTCTTATTCTGTTTACCTTGTTTGTTGTCAAAACCCAGGGCTTTTTTTGTTGCAGGAACTCCTTTGCATGTTAGGCGACACACCTCTAATGTAGCCAGTCCTAATGAGTTCCTGCTGTTGGGTGTGGCCTATTATGCTAATGAGTTCCTGCTGGGCATGGCCAACTCAGGAGCCAGCCGGAACTCCGTTCCTGTATGTTCCTGCCCAAAAATAGCCCTGATTATAATCATGTGACGGGAAGAAGAGCCGGGGTTATGAGGAGGACTGCTGTCCTCCAGGTGGGGGGCCGCAGGTCTCCGGGAACTCCTGTTGGAAAAATTGGCAAAAATACTTAGATATTCAGAGTCTGCAATGGAACTTTGCTTCACTGGAGAGGAGGCATTCCTTTCTGTGCAAAAATCTTTATTTCTAAGGGAAGGGTACACAGGAAAAGCTACAAAATAACAAAGACCTAAGGCAACATCTCTCCAGCCACAGAACAGACCGACCACACGGTCTCTCAACAAAAACAGCAACGACTTGGAGATTCTTCTTCTTCTTAACTCCTAGACGGAAATCACCTGAATGCATTAACTAATGATTGTTAGTAAATAGGCTTCACTTTCCTGGGCTTTGTTTCCATTGGTTCTGTGCCAGGTTTCCCTTCCAGGTCAGTCTAAACAATAGCACACAAGGTAAACAGATTAACCCTTTAATTACTGAATTAGAGCTTTCCACACACACATATTTCCGACAACTGCAACTGATCTCCAGATAGAACAAATTTAGAGTCCAGTGGCAACAAAGTTTTATCTTCATCATGTTACACGTTAATTTGCTGTTCAGCCTCTGTCTATAAGTTTGACCCTTAACCTACCATTCCACTGTATTTGAAAAAGTGCGCATGCACACGAAAGATCATACCTTGGATAAAACTTTGTTGGTCTTAAAGGTGCCCCCGGACTCTAAATCTGTTCTGCTGCTTCAGGCCAACACGACTGCCCACCTGGATTGTTCTCCAAATGACAGAGATCAGTTCCCCCTGGAGAAAATGGCTGCTTTGGAGGGTGGACTTTCTGGCATGGTGCCCCATTGAAGTCCCTCCCCTCCCTAAACCCCGCCCTCTTCAGGCTCCACCCTCAAAGTGCCAGGAATTTTCAACTCTGAGCTGGGAACTCTAGTTATGACCTCACTAGTGGGGAGGAGGCCTGATGGACAGAGCACTAGGGGCAGCTGAGCCGAGCAATGGGATGCTCACAGGAGAGCTTATTTGTTTGTGTGCTTGGGATGTGGGTGTTTGTCTCCGAAGATGCCTGTGGTAAGAAGGAATTCTCCCCATTGAGAGCCAGTGTGGTGTCATGGTTAAGAGTGGTAGACTCAAACCTGTAGAATCCTCCCCCATGGGCCTGCTGGGTGACCTTTGGCCAGTCCTAGTTCTCTCGGAACTCTCCCAGCCCCACCTACCTCCCAAGGTGCCTGCTGTGGGGAGAGGAAGGGAAGGTGACTGTAAGCCGCTCTGAGACTCCTTAAGGCCAGTTTGGTGTAGTGGTTAAGTGTGCGGACTCTCATCTGGGAGAACCGGGTTTGATTCCCCACTCCTCCACTCGCACCTGCTGGATGACCTTGGGCAAGCCGTAGTTCTGATAAGAGCTGTTCTTGAAAAAGAGCAGTTTCTGTCAGAGCTCTCTCAGCCCCACCCACCTCACAGGGTGTCTGTTGTGGGGAGGGGAAGGGAAAGGGGTTTGTAAGGTGCTCTGAGCCTCCCTTGGGTAGTGAAGGGCGGGGTACAAATCCAATCTCTTCTTCCTCTTCTATGGGAGAGAAAAGCGGGGTATGGAAACCTACTCTTCTTCATGACTGCGCCTTGCCATGTAGGTGCTGCTCTCAGTGGGATGGATCCCCCCCCCGAGAAGCACATGCAAGAGGTGGGGCTGCTTCCCCCTCCCTCACAGCTCTCCCTGTTGAAATATTTGGTTAATATAGCAGAGTTTTGCCCAGTGAAAGAAGCGTGATACTAAGTGCAGTAAATAAACCTCCCAAGATGTATATTGCAAAAAAGGTAAACTTACGTTTATTCAAGTAGATACAGTCAGAGGTCATTTCGGGGGGGATCGCCGTTCCCCCGGGTGAGGTACGGGGGCGGGGCACATGATGAAGCCCCGCCCCCTGTTTCCGTCCGCCCCACTTCCGGCCCTCATTCAGCCAGGAGGAGGCAGGAGAAGAGGGAGGGTAAGTTGCTTCCTCCCTGCCTCTCCCCACCCCTGCCTGCCTGGGGCCAGGGAGGGCCTTGGCGGGGCTTCCTTGCACTCCCGCCGGCCTTGCAGGTCCACCGCCGGGCCCCTCATGGGGCTCGGCAGTGGAGCTGCAAGGCCGCCGCTGGCGGCCGGGACCGTTGGGGGCGGGGTGTGTGGCCTTATGACACACTTCCGGTGATGTCAGGGAGTGTGGCATATGCTAATGAGTTATGCTAATGAGTCCCCCAAGCTCTTTTTCTACGAAACGACCCCTGGATACAGTTCACATTCAGGCTGCATTTGAAAGGAGAGAGACCTAAAGAGCACTTTCCCAATAACAAATGGCCACCTTGTCTGGCATAATATCTGTGGGAGTACGAGGACATGGTATCTACAGGAGAGACCTGCAGAGATGTGTGTCTCCATGGAAAGCCATGTGAGGAGAGGAAGGTCGAATCTGCATTTGCATTTTTAAATCAATTTCGTGCTGCTGTGACGCCGTCTTTCTCTACGCTTGTTTGAACATTGTTTGGAGAAGATTCTTTCAAAGCAGTAGGGAGGCGCAATGACAGTTGAGCCACCACGAGAAGGCGAGAAACATATGTGGGCGTGCAAAAGTTTGCTAGCACTGTTGAGGTGTGAAAACGAAACCAAACGTAGACAGTTTTTTTGAAGACAGAGTCAGAAGGCTGGGACACTGGTGGGAAAGACAAATGCAGATTTGACCTGAGAGGACAAATGGAAGGCCATGTGCAGAGAGGGAGAGGACAATGAGAGAGAGAGAGAGAGAGGAGAGGGGTCAGAGGGCGGCTCCCAGGTTAAGCCAAAGAGAGGTAACCCATTCAAGGAGGTAATACCTATACACACTTAGAGTGATGTAGCGTCCCCCAATGTCCAGGCATGTTGAGTTACTCACTCCAACACGCCCCTCATGTTGTTCCTTGGGGTTCCTCACCCCCCCAGGAGCAGCACTTCAAAATCATTTGGGGCTGCTTTGGGAGGTGGGGGAGTTGTGCTTCTGTGCATGGAATTTAGATAGGACTCAATACAGTGTGCAAGCAAAGGAAGGTGAAGGGCGTGGTGCTCTGGCACATTACACATGCGCACTAGTCTGCAAGTCGTCCCCAAAAGCAGGAACAGCAAATAAAACAAAAGGCAGTCCGATACGGGCTCACACAAAGCAGCCAGGAGCTGGAATCGTGACCACGGATCTGTGCTTCTGCCTAGAAGACCACAGGAAGACCACTCAGACGTCAGGCTCTTGTGTTTGCAGCCAAATTGGCCAATCAGTTTGCCATGAGAACTCGAAACCTGCTCTTTTGTGGGTTAAGAAAAATACAGATCCTCGCAGTGCCCGGGGAAGAGCTGTATTGTGTACGTTAAGAGATCACAGTCTCAAGCCAATGAAGACAACCCAGACGAGGAACTAAGATCTGCTGGACCTCACGTGCAAAGACCTGGGGCACGGGGAAGGCTGAGTGCTATCTGAACACGTGCATAAAAACCAAACGGGGATCCTTGCGCCCCTCCAGTTTGTGCACTCAGCATTGCTCCTTCAAGGGCTGAGCATCAAGAGCACCCTCTTGGCCTTTAAAACTGGCTGAATAATAGAGAGTGTGTTTTCTTGACTCCGCCGCACAAGTTTATTAGCCGCTTGGGGGACCCTTAATGGCCGGGCAGGGGAAAGGTATACATTTCAGAAATAAATTATGATAAGCTTCTGCAGGGAAGAGTTTTAATTTTACAGGACTGTTTAAATGGCACCAGCAACCCATAAAGGGGTTTCCTCTTGAGAAGGCCGAGCAAACACAGGCCCTCGGGGGCTCAGGGAACATCTGCAGTGGGTTTTTTTCTGCCCAGCCCCAACAACTTGGATGCTGCCGTGCATCATGGGAAGTGTTCGCGGGTGACCCGCTTGTTCTTCTGTTCTCTACCCCCCCCCCCCAGGCACAGCTTCATGAGCACCGACCAGCTCTCCGCAGAGATCAGCCTGAGCTCCGATTCGCAACGACTGGGCGAGGGGAAGCGCGAAGGAGAGCCCTGGGGACCCCTGGGTAAGAAGGCTCACAGCAGGTTGGGGAAAGTCCTGGGCCTCATTGGTGAAAAGGGGGACGTCCCCAGGGATCGCAGCGGCCAGCGTACCATCAGAGCCAGTTTGGTGCAGTGGTTAAGTGCGCGGACTCTAATCTGGGAGAACCGGGTTTCATTCCCCACTCCTCCACTTGCACCTGGCTGGATGACCTTGGGCAAGCCGTAGTTCTGATAAGAGCTGTCCTTGAAAAAGAGCCGTTTGTGTCAGAGCTCTCTCAGCCCCACCGACCTCACAGGGTGCCTGTTGTGGGGAGGGGGAAGGGAAAGGAGTGTGTAAGCCACTCTGAGACACCTTTGGGTAGTGAAGGGCGGGGTATAAATCCAATCTCTTCTTCTTCTTCTCTTCTTCTTCTGCGAGCCACGCCCTGTAAGCAGAAGGTATGAACCTGGCAACACTACCTGCTACAGAGGTGCTGGTGCTGGCTGAAGCGAGGGAAGAGGCCTTCTGAACGTGCTCAGTAAGGTTGCCCGGCATCTGGTATTGACCCATGACAGTCCAGCATTTTCACTGACTGTCCAAGGAAAAAAATCTGGAAAAGACACCTGATATTTGGTATTTTTTACACTGAGGGCTAGGCGGCCATGAGGTTGTCCTGCAGGGTTGCCAGCCTCCAGGTGGGGCCTGGGGATCTCCTGCTTTTACAGCTGATCTCCAGCTGACCGAGATCAGCTCCCCTGGCTGCTTTGACGTGTGGACTCTGTGGCCTTGGACCATGCTGAGGCCCCTCCCATCCCCAAACCCCGCCCTCTCCTGGCTCAACCCCCAAAGTCTCCAGGTACTTTCCAACCCAGACCTGGCAACCCTATTGTTCTGGTAGCCTGGCCAGAGAAGAAGACAGCCAGGCCAGGATAGGGTTGCCAGACCCCCGGTCCGAGTGGGGGGGTTCTCCAGATTTTGGGGGCTCCTTCCAGCTGCCGGCCAGCTGGCTGAAGCCCCGCCCCCAAGAGTGACCACCCCGCCATCCCTCCTGCAATATTTAAAGGGCCCTCCAGCTGAACAGCGGGATCCTGTGGCCTGCCAATCACCTGGAGGGCTCTTTTAAATCTTGCAGGAGCGAGGGAGGAAGAGGGGTGGCCCCACACACCTGAACCCCAAGTTGTGAATGCGTCGCTTGGAGTGCAGGTTGCGCAGGCCCCCCCTTTCTTCTGACAGCATTTAAAGGGACCCTCCACTCCAAGGTATGAATTTGCAGCTTGGAGTGCAGGTGTGCACGGGGGTGGGGCACCTCTTGCCAGTAGCACTTAAAGGGACCCTTTCAATGCTTTTGTCAAAAAGCGAGGGGAGGTGCCAGTCCCCACGTGATGACATCACTTGTACATGATGACATCACATTGGGGATGACCCCCGCCCAGTAATGACCCCCCCAAAGTCCTCCGCTGGGGACTTGGAAGGACCTGGCAACCCTCGGTCAGAAGTATTGTGACGCTGGTGAAGCGGCTGGGCCCACTCCAGCTGCCCTTGCCATCAAATGATGGCTGCAGGCCAAGGGAAGGAGGCGTTGGGGCCGAAGCACATGCTCCGCGCCTCCTCCACCAAGCCCGGACAACGCAGTGCAGCAGCTGCAGCTCTGAGCTTGGGCTTAGGTCAAGGTTTCCCTTGCTTGAAAGCCAGTCGAATCCGACTCTAGGGTTGCGGTGCTCATCTCTGTTTCAAAGCCGAAAAGCCAGCGCTGTCCAAAGACGTTTCCGTGGTCATGTGGCCGGCATGACTAAACACCAAGGCGCACTGAACGCTGTGACCTTCCCACCGAAGTGGTACCCATTTATCTACTTGCGATTTTTTGCTTTTGAACTGCTAGGTTGGCGGGAGCTGGAACTAGAGACGGGAGCTCACTCCGTCATGCGGCACTCGGGTCTCGAACTGCTGAACTACCGACCTTCCAGCTTGCAGTTCAGCGTCTTAACCACTGAGTGCTCTTCAAAGACCAAACATCAGAAAGCACTGTGTCTGTTCTTATTGTGAAACTATCTGGCAACCAATGTTCCCTCTAAGCCGAGTTAGTGTGAGCTAACTCAGTTTTTTAGCCTCCGGCTCGCACATTTTTTGTCTTCGCTCATGAAGGCGGGCTCCAGAGCAAACTCATTTATGCAGTAGCCAAATCGCTCACTCACAACTTTAATGCCAGGAGCTCACAAAGTAGAATTTGTGCTCACAAGACTCCACAGCTTAGAGGGAGCAGTGCTGGCAACCCTAAAATGCTCAGGGATTCTGGGGCTACATCTTGGCTCAAAGGAAAGGCTTCTGTGGAGCTATAAAGACCTACCATCTGTGTTCTGGGGCATACTAGCATGCCACAGGAAGTGAATTAATCAGGCTCGTAGCTGCAGTGGGGCACCTTGGGGCTAAGCCCCCTGACTTACTGGCAAGGCCCCACAACTTCCCACCCAGCCCAGGGCCCCCGGGCGGCAGCAGGTGTGGGGAAGGAGACGGGTATTCCTTTAATTCGATTAGCCAGTGCCCCCTAAGAAATTGAAATGCCCCCCCGACTTTAAAACTCCTGGCTACGGGCCTGGAATTAATCCAAGATGGCTGGAACCTGGCTTCCTGCCCAAAGAGGAAACTCTCTGCTGAGTGTTCTGCTGTTGCTTGGCCTGTTTCCAGTCCTTTTCACTGAAGTGCAGAACTTGCCTCCAAAAGAGATGTGCCCGTTGCCTCTCTGTACGTGAAGCCACTGCTATGTTCTTGCCTGCTTCCCATTTGGAGGCATGACTTGAACAGCAGCAGACACTGGGGAGCACGCTGGGGCAGAGAGAGCCGGGGGGGGGGGGCCTCTTCTGTCTGAGCACATTGCCGTGGGACATTCCAACAACTTGGCCCTCTCCAGAAGCAGCTTCCCAAGACCCTGTGGGAGAGATGCTTTCTGCTCAATGAGGCTCTCTCCTTTTATTTAAACTATTTTTAATGCCACCTCATTAGGATCCTGCTCAAGCTGGCTTGCTATTTTCACTGCAAGTTAACAATTATAGTGAAGCGCAAGCTGCTCAAACATGCCATGTGATCCAGTCCGTTGACTGAAAAAGGAAATGCATCCTCCACATGCTCAGAGATGCTCTTTCATAAACTATTCTGTAGGGCCCGAGAACTGATTGAGCCCTGTCTCAAGGACAGCTTCTGTTAGAAGAGATGTTGGTCCACCTCCTCCAGTCTGAATAAGTGGTTAAGGAGCACGGACTCCAATCTGGGAGAACCAGGTTTGATTCCCCAACTCCTCCACATGCAGCTGCTGGTGTGACCCTGGGTCACTCAAAAGTTTTTTCAGAACTGTTCTCTCAAGGGCAGTCCTCAAGAGAGCTCTCTCTCACACACACCCCGACCTCCTAGGGTGTCTGTTGTGGGGAGGGGAAGGGAACGGAGATTGTAAGCCGCTCTGAGACTCCTTCAGGCAGTGAAGGGCGGGGTATAAATCCAATCTCTTCTTCATCTTCCACCACTACCCCACTCCGGAGCACGTGCAAAAAGAAGGACCTTCCTTTTCAGGATGAAACCCTGATTCTGTGCCTTTGTAAGATGATGATGACGACGACCACCTTCCTTTAGCTCTCATTTTAAGGCGCATCCCTCTGAAGGCTTGCCCATCCCTTTTTTCTCCCCAGGGAAGGACCCGACTCCGTCGATGCTGGGCCTCTGCGGCTCCCTGGCCTCCCTGCCCAGCTGCAAGTCCTTGGCCAGCCTCAAGTCCAACGAATGCCTGGTGAGCGACAGCCTCGAACCCAGCCCCGCGCACAGCCCCAGCTGAGATGCCCGGGATGCTGCGGTCTGACCAACCATGCAAGACACCCAAGGGGGAGCAGAGGTCGCTGGCAGGCAGAACGGACAACTGACCATCCCTTTCACTCGAGGGCTGAAGTTGGGGGGAAGGGGGCACACCGGGCCTCTTTATCCAGCCCGACGGTGCACTTGGGCAACCAACCTGCATTCTCGACCCAGCATCCTTACAAAACCACAGACTTCCTTCCTGGATCTGGGGATTGGGGGGGAACTCTTTAGAAGTTTTTTGGTTTCTCCTATCCAGGAAGAAGCCACACCCCTCATCAGAAGCTAGGAGGACCACCTGCCAAAAATGCTTTTCTTTTCTTTTTTGTAAAATGAAGCGGTGTATATTATATGTAATATATATATATATAATTTATGGTTGAGATTGCTGAAAGGCAGCCGCCTCTGGGGTGGAACACTTCGGGCATCGAAGAACTGCACCAGTTCAGCCCTTTTTTGCGGAAGGGGGAGGGGGGGAAATGCAGCTGTCCAGCAGAGCGGCATTAAGTTTCGAAGCCAGGAAGGATATTTGCAAAGTTAATGGAGGGGGCCCTGAAGGCAAAATGACGTTGGGGAAGAAAAATAAGCCGGCAAGTTGAAATCCCTTGCAACCTTCGTGGCCCATTCTTTGCCGGAGGAAATAAGGTAGCTAAGGACCAGTGTTCCCTCTAAGAGGCAGTGTGAGCTCGCTCACAGTTTTTTAGCCTCCAGCTCACACATTTATGTCTTAACTCAGGAGGGATCGCTCCAGAGCAAACTAATTCATACAGGAGCCCAATCGCTTGCTCACAACTTTAATGCCAGTAGCTCACAAAGTAGAACTTTTGCTCACAAGACTCTACAGCTTAGAGGGAGCACTGCCAAGGACAGTTTGCGTCCTTCCTGACACTGCAAGGCAGCATGGAGATGCCCTTGGGGAGGGGATGTGAGGCAAGAAGCAGGTGTGGGAAGTATTAAAACTTCCCTTCTTCCTTCACCTCCCCCCCAATCCTGCTTTCTGCACCTTCACACCACCTCACCCAATTGTGGTATCTCCATGCTGTAGAAAGAGTTCTGGTCGCCCACATTTTTTGGCATTCTTTTGCCAGACTCCAGGGTTCCGTGAAGCCTCCTTTCTTCCTCTGTCCCCCGATAGGAACCAAACGCCTCATCTGTTTCTCCTGCATGTCAGTGGCCCAGTGGAACTTCCTATCAGCAGGAGCAAAGAGTGCAACTGGGGAAGGGGCCGATCCGGAGGCCCAGATTGCTGGGGACTGTCGTTTGCCAGTAAAGCACAACCAGACTCCTTCCTGCATCCCTCCCAGCGCCGATGTGGCACCGTGGCAGAGCGGTCTCAAGAGGGCACCAGTAGGGGATGGAACTGCAACCTGCCCCTCACCTGAGAAACTGCCATGGCTCACCAGCTGGGGGATAATTCTGTTAAGAGTGAACAGGAAACATTAAAAACAGAACAAGGAGATGACACTGAAATGGGTAAGATTTGTCGGAGCTTCTTGTCCAACGCTCGTATCCCATCCACAGGGGTAATTTCCTGCAGGAGCGCACAGGAGCAGAGCTATGGCAGTAAAGAGCCCAGGGGGTGGGCACATACCACAAGCCCCACCCCCTGCTCCCAGCAGCCCTCAGTCAGAGCAAGAAGCAGCCAGGTAAGTTGCAGAGCCTCCCCATAGCTAGCAATCCAAAACAGTCCAGTGGCACCTTTAAGACCAAGTTTTATTCAGGTACAAGCTCTCCCTCCTCTGCAAGGGCAGATCTGCATGTGGCCCCCCCCCCCCCAGCTAGCACTCCAAAACAGTCCAGTGGAGCCTGAGCGGTGGGGTGTTGCCTTCTGACACACTTCCGGTGATGTCAGGGGGTGTGGCATATGCAAATAAGTTATGCTAATGAGCCCCTGCACCTCTTTTTCTACAAAATGACCCCTGTCCACAAATAGGCTCAGGGCCACCTCAGGATGTGCAGTCACCACCACGGCTTCTGCTGCTGCAAGACTACCAAGGTCCATGTAGCGCTCCCCCCTCTTCCTGTCCCAGCTAAACGGTAAGCCAGTCCAGCCTCTCAAAGAATCTCTCCCTTATAATAATTGAATAGCAACGTTCTACTTCGCAACATTCTAAATTTGGCCCCTTTAGTGTTAGGCCAGAAGAACTGCCACTCAGAAGACACTGGCTGGGTTGACTGGCTGCTTTGTGCAGTCCCGCCCAGCATTCCAAGGTCATTTGCATGTGGAAGCTGATTGGGCTTCACTCCATTCCACACCTCAAACTCACCCCCCCC